ATGGCACCCCCAGAATGGGAATGGCACCCCCAGAATGGGAACTGCACCCCCAGAATTGGAACTGCACCCCCAGAATGAGAATGGCACCCCCAGAATGGGAACTGCACCCACAGAATGGGAACGGCACCCCCAGAATGGGAACTGCACCCCCAGAATGGGAACTGCACCCCCAGAGTGGGAACTGCACCCACAGAGTGGGAATGGCACCCCCGAGTGGGAATGGCACCCTCAGAATCAGAACTGCACCCTCAGAATGGGAATGGCACCCTCAGAATGGGAACTGCACCCCCAGATTGGGAATGGCACCCCCAGAGTGGGAACTGCACCCCAGAATGGGAATGGCACCCTCAGAATGGGAATGGCACCCCCAGAATGGGAACTGCATCCCCAGAATGGGAACTGCACCCCCAGAATGGGAACGGCACCCCCAGAGTGGGAATGGCACCCCCAGAGTGGGAACTGCACCCCCAGAGTGGGAATGGCACCCCCAAAATTGGAACTGCACCCCCAGAATGGGAACTGCACCCCCGGAATGGGAATGGCACCCCCAGAGTGGGAACTGCACCCCCAGAGTGGGAATGGCACCCCCAGAGTGGGAACTGAACCCCCAGAGTGGGAATGGCACCCCCAGAGTGGGAATGGCACCCCCAGAATTGGAACTGTACCCTCAGAATCAGAACTGCACCCTCAGAATGGGAATGGCACCCCCAGATTGGGAACTGCGCCCACAGAGTGGGAATGGCACCCCCAGAATGGGAATGGCACCCCCAGATTGGGAACTGCACCCCCAGAATGGGAATGGCACCCCCAGAATGGGAATGGCACCCCCAGAATCAGAACTGCACCCTCAGAGTGGGAACTGCACCCACAGAATTGGAACTGTACCCTCAGAATGAGAACTGCGCCCCCAGAGTGGGAACTGCACCCCTAGAATGGAACTGCACCCCTAGAATGGAACTGCACCCCCGAGTGGGAATGGCACCCCCAGAGTGGGAACTGCACCCACAGAGTGGGAATGGCACCCCCAGAATGGGAACTGCACCCACAGAGTGGGAATGGCACCCCCAGAATCAGAACTGCACCCCCGAGTGGGAACTGCACCCCCAGAATGAGAATGGCACCCTGAGAATGGGAATGGCACCCCCAGAATGAGAATGGCACCCTGAGAATGGGAATGGCACCCTCAGAATGGGAACTGCACCCCTGAGTGGGAACTGCACCCCCAGAATTGGAACTGTGCCCCCAGAATGGGAACTGCATCCTCAGAGTGGGAACTGCACCCCCAGAATTGGAACTGTGCCCCCAGAATAAGAACTGTCAATTAATTAATTCATTTAATTTAATTTAATCCTGGGAAGGAGAAGGAATCAAATCCTCGGAAGGAAAAGGATCAAATCCTGGGAAGGATCAAATCCTGGCAAGGAAAGGAAGATCAGATCCAGCCAATCCAACAATTTTCCCTGACATCCCCTCTCCAACCTCATCTATAAGTGACCAGAACAGGCAATAAAGGGCACCAAAAACCCCAAAATCCACAGCCAAATCTTCCTAGACTGGGACCTGATGAGGATTTACAGACCAGGAGCAATTTGCAATTAAATCTCCTTGCAACTAACGAGGTTCAGAGGCAGATGGAGGGAGAAGAACACCCAGCAGCGAGAAGATATTTGAGAAATTATCCTGGTGGGCTCCAGGAGAGGCATTCCGCAGGAATTTCCTTGCAACTAAAATGGTTTAGAGGCAGATGCAGGGAAAAAATATTTGGATATTTGGAAAACAATCCTGGTGGGATCCTGGAGGGGCATTCCCCGGGAATTTCCTTACAACTAAAGAGGTTGCACAATCCAAATCCTCCCAGATTGGGACCTGATGGGGATTTACAGACCAGGAGCAATTTGCAATTAAACCAAGAGGTTTAGATCCAGATACAGGGAGAAGATATTTGGGAAACGATCCTGGTGAGATCCTGGAGGGCATTCCTCGGGAATTTCCTTTAAACTAACGAGGTTTAGAGGCAGATGCAGGGAGGAGAACACATAACAGGGAGGAGATATTTGGGAAATTGTGGTGGGGTCCTGGAAGGGCATTCCCCGGGAATTCCCTTACAAATAAAGAGCTTTAGATCCAGATACAGGGAAAAGATATTTGGAGAACAATCCTGATGTGGTCCTGGAGAGGCATTCCCCGAGAATTTCCTTACAACTAACGGGATTTAGAGGCAGATGCAGGCAGGAGAACACTCAACAGGGAGGAGATATTTGGGAAATTGTGGTGGGGTCCTGGAAGGGCATTCCCCAGGAATTTCCTTACAACTAACGAGGTTTAGATCCAGATACAGGGAGAAGATATTTGGGAAATTGTGGTGGGGTCCTGGAGAGGCATTTCCCAGGAATTTCCTTACAAATAAAGAGGTTTAGATCCAGATACAGGGAGAAGATATTTGGGAAAGGATCCTGGTGGGGTCCTGGAGGGCATTTCCCAGGAATTTCCTTGCAACTAAAGAGGTTGCACAATCCAAATCTTCCCAGATTGGGACCTGGAGGGGATTTACAGATCAGGAACAATTTGCAATTAAACCAAGAGGTTTAGAGGCAGATGCAGGGAGGAGAACACCCAAGAGGGAGGAGATATTTGGGAAATTGTGGTGGGGTCCTGGAGGGGCATTTCCCAGGAATTTCCTTACAAATAAAGAGGTTTAGATCCAGATACAGGGAGAAGATATTTGGGAAACGATCCTGGTGAGATCCTGGAGGGCATTCCCCGAGAATTTCCTTACAACTAACGAGGTTTAGAGGCAGATGGAGGGAGGAGATATTTGGGAAATTGTGGTGGGGTCCTGGAGGGCATTCCCTGGGAATTTCCTTTAAACTAACGGGGTTTAGAGGCAGATGCAGGGAGGAGAACACATAACAGGGAGGAGATATTTGGAAAACGATCCTGATGTGATCCTGGAGGGGCATTGCCCGGGAATTCCCTTAAAAATAAAGAGGTTTAGATCCAGATACAGGGAGAAGATATTTGGGAAATGATCCTGGTGGGGTCCTGGAGGGCATTTCCCGAGAATTCCCTTACAGCTAACAGGGTTTAGAGGCAGATGCAGGGAGGAGAACACTCAACAGGGAGGAGATATTTGGGAAAGGATCCTGGAGGGGCATTCCCGGGTGGGGACGGTACCTGGAAGCTGCCGAAGCAGCTGCCCCCGGGCAGGGTGACATAGCACACGTAGGGCGGGCTGGCGGCCGGCACCATCGCGCAGCTCGGCCCCGCGGGATTGCTTCATCTGCCAGAACTCCTGCAGCGCCTCCACCACGTTCACTGCCGGGGGAACCGCGGGGAGAGGGGATGGGGCATGGAGAGAGGGAATTGGGGCATGGGAGTGAGGAATTGGGGTGTGGGAATGAGGAATTGGGGTATGGGAATGAGGAAAAGGGGCATGGAAAGAGGGAAAAGGGACATGGGGATGAGGAATTGGGGTATGGGAATAAGGAAAAGGGGTATGGAGGGAGGGAAAAGGGGCATGGGAAGGAGGAAAAGGGGCATGGGAATGAGGAATTGGGGAATGGGAATGAGGAAAAGGGGTATGGAGGGAGGGAAAAGGCGGTGAGGAAGGAAGGAAGGAAGGGAAAGGGGCATGGAAAGAAGGAAAACGGAATGGGGAAGGACGGACGGATGGAAATGGGGCACGGAAAGATGGAATTGGGGCATGGAAAGGAGAAAAAGGGGGTGAGGAAGGAAGGAAGCGAATGGGGCACGAAAAGAAGGAATTGGGGCAGGGGAATAAGGAAAAGGGGATGAGGAAGGAAGGAAGGAAGGAAGG